TGAAGTAACGCGAGAGTACAAAATGCTGTTATGTCCTACATTCTTCTATTTGAGGGAAGCATTTGATCCCGTCGGGACAGAAGCGGTTATCGAAGGCTAGGCAATCAGGGTATTCTTACTCAATATATGAGGACGCTTCGTGAGCTTTACGACATTTCCACGACCAGGATTTCACAGTTCTACAGGGAAGTCATGTTATCAACGTGAAGAGAGATGTCCGGGAGGGCGACACCATTTCGCCCAAACTTTCAGTTCCGCTCTCGAGAATATCATGCGCCATTTGGTGTGGGATAGCTTGGGAGTGAAGGTCGACGGCCGCTATCTACATCGCCTCCGCTTGGCAGACGACATCGCGCTTATAACACCGAACATCGAGCACGCGGAACGAATGCTGGCCAAGCTTGGCAGTGCTTGTGGGAAGATCGGCTTTAGACTGAACTTAACGAAGACGATGTTCATGGAAAAAGGATTGGTACCTGATGCTCCTTTCACGCTAAACGGAACGAACATCTCCGAATGCTCTAGCTATATATCTTGGTCGAAAAGTCAATATGATGAACGAGCTAGCTCCCGGAGCTGAACAGAAGAAGCGTGCCGTGTGGAGAGCGTTTGAGAATATCGAGGTAACAGTGAAGAAAACGAAGAACATCCGGCCCTGCGCTCACCTTTTCGACGCTGCTGTCCTTCCTGCTTTCACGTACGCCTCGGAGACTCGGACTCTACGAAGGCACGATGAGCATGCTGTCGGCAATGCTGCTCGACGCGCTTCGAAAAGGACGATGCTCGGAATTTCTTTATACACGCAAAATGCAGAAGGAACACGGGGTTCCGAGCTCCATCATCGAACGAAGATCAGGGATGTCGTTGATTACGCCAAGAAATCGAAGATCAGATGGGTCGGACACGTTATGCGATATAGTGACCGCTGGGCCTGGTCGGCTACTTACTATTTTTCGGGACGTCAAGCGAGCTCCAAGATGGCCGCCAACGCGATGTCAGATTTCTTCACGAAAGCTCTGAACAAAAGGAATGTTCAGCCTCGTTTCCCTGAAGCGAGGACGATTCATTGGACCAGTCTGGCTCGTGACAGGGACGGATGGAGACGTTACTTTCGCCCACTCGAGGAAGTCGATGATCAACGGGACGCCAGGTGATACAGGTGATGATTATTTTGATTGCGGTAGACATTTGATATGAGTCAGAGCGGATTTCCGATAAATTTACGCAACCTGTAAACATGTTTTCATTGCAGATATTGGTACCACATCCCCTTTTATCCTATTAATGGCCTCCACGCGAATAAGGATTCCACTAGTACCACTGAAAAGGAAAAAGAAATTCCCTCAAAAAAAAAA